TTGAATTCATAACTTGGAAAATGATACTGGCCTCAAAGAATGTGCTTTTAGCAATAACGGATGTTGTAGCCTTATTTTCTATGCAATGCCATATCATAATTTTTATACTATTTCCCAAATTAATTGACAGAGCCACTTGAAGCAATTGATATCTTTCTTATTTGTGTCAAAAAAGGATTTTAAAGGTTTTAATAAACATTTTTACATTGCATAAGCCTTCCCATTTGTTGTCAAGATCCTTGAAGGACTGATTATGTACTCAGAACTTAGAAAATGCTCATTACTGAGGATTTAAAAAACGTTTGTATGACTACATATGTTGTGTATCATTTAAATCAACGAAATATGCTGATTGGCCAAGCACAGTTATTTTGTAGCCTTGAAGGTTATAGGTGATAGGTCTAATCAGCCCTTTACTGCATGAAGTTTGTATGATTTTTTTTTTTTTCCCACCGAACGGTCCAGATACTTGATGTTTTCCAAATGCTCTAAGTTTCTCGTACTCTAAAATCTTGATTAGCCTATCAGCTTCTGCTTTATTTGGCTGGTGTTTTAATTGATGTTGGACTTAAAACTGGAATCTCTTCTACAGTGTCTCTTGATATGCACACTTACAATGTCATAAATTAAAATAAAAAAAAGAGAGTGTTAACTTCATCAATGCTAAAAATTAGGGGCACTGAACTAAACGAGAATGCTGGAACATATCCGAGGAAAGGACAACTGTAGGTAAGTGTAAAATGTTCATTGCACTTACTTCCATGCTGACATTTTCAGACATCCAGCTGCATTTGTGGGGAGAGTTTTAGATTGAAAAGGATAGAACAGAAGTAAATGTAATTAACACATTACATTTACTTTCCACTGTCCTTTTCTGAGATTTTTTTGAGCTGCACTTTAAAAATAGAATGTACAGAATGATCAATATTTATGCATTGGCGGCAGTGGTATGCATTGGCTGTTGAGTGGTTTGCAAATATGGTAGGGATGGCAATTGCACAAACCTAACATTCAACAGAACAAAATCAGATAGATCATAAAAGGAAAAACCTTTGACTCATTTGGAATTTGTTTTCACTGTTGGTGCTGGAGCAGAGAAAAAACACCTCTGTACTTAACATATAACTAAAGATGAAACATTTGTTTTAGTTTTGGATAGAGTGGAGAGGGATTAGAAGACCAGTCAGTTTTTATTGCCGTCTGTGCCCCCATTAGGGAGATTCAGCCTCTCTATTTGTTCTGTTTACCATTATCATTGAAAGTGAAAGTAAAAGGAAATCACTAATTTTGGTTGTCCCTAGAAATGTAAGAGAGGGAAAATCTTACAATGGGGATGCTAGTTCTGGTGACCTGAGAGTCCCCAAGAAATTCTCTTAATTTTCTGGGATTTCCTCTCACTTCCTGTTTGGCTATGGGGCAGGCAGTGAAGGGAAATCTCCACAATGGGACACAGATGGCAAAAAAAAATCTGACAGGAGTTATAACCCTCTCTTGCTCTATCCAAAATGAAAAATAAAGTTTTGCCTATAATTCTATTTAAATGTTAACTTGTAGAATAAACATAAAAGTGATAACATACCAAACACATTTCAACCTGCACAGAAACAGTTGTAAAAATGTATGATTAATTGTTGTGGAGAAATAAAAATGGCAAAACAGTCTCAGAAAAAGTAACACACTTTACCACTTTTCTGGGCAGTGTGCCTTTAAATCTGAGATCAGTGTGCTGCAAATAAGTATAATCCACATCAAAAGATCTTCTGCAGCAAACACTGGAGTCATCATGCATAAGGGAATGCACTAAATTTGAAAAAGTATAAAAAGAAAAAACAGGGCAGCACATGATCTTGAGACTTGAGAAGGGGAGACCCATCCCCAAAAACATTGTCTCCTGTCAGAGGAAGCCATGTTGGATGCTTTTGTATGCTGTGGATTCTGTTGTGGAGCACAGCTCTGAGCATGGAAGTGAGCCTTTTCTTCTCCCAACCAGTCAGCACTGTGCGTGAGGAAGCACAGAAGTGAGCCTCCTTTTCCCCCAGCGTCTCAGCACTGTGAATGAGGATTCCAACTGAAACTGCCATTTTCCTTGCACCACTGGCCATGGTATCAGTGTACAATGTCAGTCCCTTCTGCTGACAAATATGAGTGCAATCTGATTTGCTTTTATTCAACTCAATGAAGTGAACAATTGTGCAGGATCATGCATTTTCCTGTCTTTTTCTTTTCACTGTCTTTAAGGAGTTCTTACCTAAGCCTTTAAATAGGAAAGAGCCATTAGACTTCGTACATAGTTTATTTAGAAACTTTGTCTGCATCTCTGTGGGATCTTTCACATGGCAACCTGGTATCCAGAAAGCAGTTATGAAGGTTCAATTTTACTGCCAGAGCATTTATCTTCTTCTCCCCAATAAAGCTTAAAATGCACCTTTGCCCAGACATTACATAACAAGCAGTAACATACAGTAGCTTTAAAGCAACCCATCGATGACCTCTCTAGCTGCTTATACTCTGAAGAATTAATTGTCAAAGTTTCTTCAACATCAAAGCAAAGCAAAGGTTGGGTTTCAGTTGGTTTCTGACAGTTTAGTATCGCCTGCTGTGGGTTTAAATTACAAGATTAGCACACTGCCAAGATTTTTGGTGCATTAGGAAAATAAATTTTCAGTGCTTCTATTTTGAAATTGAAGATGAATTGCTCTGCAATGCATAAAGTTGCAAACACGAATGAGAGAACAAAACAAGGCATCAGGTGCACTTTCAGTGCATTAATTGTGACAATGGATGTCATAAATGCACTGACAAACAGCATGCCTATTGGTATTGCCCAGGGGAGCAGCAATCTGGTATTCGGTCACATGGAAGATCTTAACAACTGCTCTGGTTAAGCAATGTTACAAACTGCAATAGAGAGAAAACTGTAATAAAACCACTGCTTACACGCAAATATTTGGGGAGTAGTAAGCACTTGTAACTGGCCTCTGAGTGGTATTATGACAGTATATCCTGGCCAGTGAACAGGCAGTGATCCAGGTACTGTTTTCTCCTAGTGCAGGAAAATTCAATAGAAATGACCTGTCGTGAGAAGATAGAGAGCGACATCCTTGCAGCAGTGAAACAAGTTTAACATCCGTTTTTGGATCTGGTAACTAATCATCAAGTTTCGAGTCATTGCTATTGAATTCTCCCAGACTAGGAAAAACTAAGATGCCATGTTATAATGGGAATCCTAAGTGTCTGCATCCATTGAGAAGTAGATGAGTATTTTATTAAAGGCATTTATTTAATGCCAACGATTTACACAGTGCTTTTATATATTGTACATTCACATTAGTTCAGGCTCTCAAGGTGCTTACAATCTGAGGTCCCCTTTTCACATGCATACTTAGAACAATTTAGACAGGAGAAAATTATTCTACTAGTATATCTTAGAAATTTGAGGGAACATGCAAACTCTTTGTAGAGAGAGTTTGTGCTGCAAGCCAGAAGTGCTAATTATTAATCCAATGTACTGCCCAACAAAAACAGAACATCTGCAGATCATGTGTGAAATGTGTCTTGAATCTCTGTGCAGATTTCTTAGGAAAGCAGTGAGGTATTCAGTCCAGCAGCAAATGAGAATTCAGTTGGCATTCTATGCGCCAACAGTTGCAATTTTTCAAAGAAATTACATTTGAAGTTGTTAGAATATGCAGCATCTACAGATTGAAACGGTAGTGATTTAGTAACATTAAATTGCAGTTTTTGTGTAGTAGTTTTATATTAATTGTAAACAAAATTTGTGTTTCCTTTAAAAACACATGAGGCTTTCCCAGGAATTAAAGAGAAATGTGGGTTAAAAAAAACAATCGTACTCAGCTAGGTTAAGGCACCAGCGATCCAATGCTGTATCTTTCCCCACTGTCTCTAAGACCGAGAATTTAGCAATCAGGCCTCTGATTGCTTTGTTTTTGGTCCTCAGTGAGCAGAGAGCCTGTGACTGTCAATCACTGATTCTCTGCTCTGCCCCTCCAGAGCTCACTAATGCCTCGAGCTGTGGAGGGGGCAGGAGCAGCCTGGCTCAGGCTCTCAGGAGCTCGCTGAGAGGCTGAGGCATCTGCCGGTCAGGCATCTGGGTGGATCCCGACATTAAAGTCAGGAACCCTCCAGAGTCTGGACAAGCTGAGTGACGTCAGATTTTAGACGGCTGTAGGCTGAATAGAGGTCACAGAAGTGTGGAACTAAGTGCATTCCAGTGAGTCACAGAAGTAGGGCCTAAAAAGCTTTAGCCCTACTTCTCCTTTAAGTAAATGAAACTTTATTCTCCTTGCTGAATTAAGTTTTATTATAGCATCTGAAAATAAAACTTTTAATGCAAAAAGTTTTAGCGGATAAGAATTACACCTTGCCCCTTTAAAGCTGAACTCCAAGCGCTGTCATTGCTGCCAAGCATTTCATAATTCAGCCAGTCTGCAGTTTTAATAACTTGCATCTATCGAACATGTACATGATGTGTACCTAATGGGCAGCTGCACCTATATACAAAAAATCCCTAAGTGTGCCTGCAAAAAAATTAAAGCTTAGATTTAGCACGGTATTCCTCTGCTGTCACGTATACATGTTCTATAGAGAGATGAATGGGAGAGCTGAATTAGACATAGGGGGACAACATATCAGAGATATCAATTTTTGTCTACAACCCATGGGAGGGGTGGAGCACACATATGGAGCTTTTTTAAATAAAGGTACAGCTGTCCTTAGAGATTTATATACATCAACCTATCAATTTAGATTGATTTTTAAATATGCCAGGGAAAATTCCTTCAGTAATGTGAAAGCTTGCCTCTGATTTAGATTCAAGCTCAGACCTGGTTGGTTTCTTAACCTCCCTGGCGGTATTCCCGAGTGTAGCTCGGGCTAAAGTTTTAGTACCACAAGCGGTAACCCCGAGCTATACTTGGGAATGCCATGCGGCGCTGCTCCGCGATCCCTCGATCACTTATCTTGTCCTGCGCTCCCGCAATGTCCCTCCTGCAGTGTCCCCTGCAATGTAATCCGGCGGATGCCGGCATCTGTCTTCTGGGTTCCGTCCCCTGCGAGCGTTGGGATGTACGGGGGACAGAACGGCGGGAAATTTGAAAATGACAAAAAGTGACAGTCACTAAAATCACGTAGTAAAAACATTACTGTATCAAACCATTTCACATACATTTTGTCCCTAGTGCTTTGTCCTGTGCCCTGCCTGCATTTATACTGTTCTTATTGCCTGGAAACTGAGAGAAACGTCCATGGCGTCCAAAAAGCGTCCCTTTAGGTCAAAAGCTGTTTTAGACCAGCTGGAGAACAGCGATAGTAAATCAGAACCACTTGCAGAATTGAGTGATAATGATTCGTGGGGAAATTCGTCATCAGACACTGAAAACAATTTTGCGACTTTGCTCAGTGATGTGCGAACTTGGCGCTATATTTCAAATTTCAGTGTTTTTGGTTTGATTATATTATTGAATTAATTAAATTATAATTTATGATTTTGTGTTTCAAGTTTTATCCTAACCAGGATGTTTACTAGACTCTTGTTCGGACAGATTTCAATGAGTTATTCCTAAGAATTACAGGCCTACAATATAAAATGCCAAATTTTAATGCAAAATAATGGTACCGCTTTCAGCACCAAAAATTTGAAATAATCATACCGCCAGGGAGGTTAAGGGCAAATCAAGACTGATTTCATGTTAGACATATGCTAGCATAGGCTGTTCACTTTGCAGGAAAAGTTGCACTTTGCAAGGGGATTTGTTCCAGAGTTTAGTGAATGCGGGTGAAGTTTCAATTTGCTAAGAGTACCCAATCACATGCAATGAATTGGGAAGAACACACAAAAAAAAACAAAAAAACAAAACAACATTTGTACTTGCATTTGATTGAATGATGGAAGTTAGCAACATTTCACCTTGTTTGCTAAGTTCTGGGGCAAATTCCCTTGCAAAGTGAACAGCCTATTCCTCCTTAGTAAGTGAGCCCCATTGCTCATTCTGGCACATTTTGGTATGGCAGAGTGTGATGTTAGCATTACTTCAAAAATAACTGGAAAGCTATGGTGTATTTTGGCTTTCTCTGAAGATGAAAAAAAGGTAGATAAAATTCCAGTAGAAGAGTTTTCTTTTTGCCCTTTTCAACCTTACAATCATTTCTTGCAATGTTCTAGTTGTTGCTATGACCATTGCAGTAAAACCGAAGATGCCAGCACCGTGTAAATGTATTTTGTTGTATTACCGATCACAATACTTTCACTACAAATTATACCAAACACAGCCATGTACAAATCATTATAATTGTAAAGGTCCACGGAACAGACGACCCTGGAATTGTTTTTTAACCCACGTAACCAGTTTTGTGTTAAGGAACGGATGCTAAAAATAGGATATGTTTTTAGAGGAAAAAATATATATAAATTGCAAATACAGGGAAACAAATGAGGTCTTGTTAGTGCAGAACTGAAATCTAAGGAAAAGAAGATAACTAACGTATTGTGGGTCAAGCAAAGGTTCAACTTTCTAACAAGAAATCCTTTCCTCTTCCAAAAAAGTAATCAGACTTTGGAATTTGCTGCAAGATGAAGTAGTGTCTACAAATGTACTCAGAGAATTTAATCTTAAATTGGATTCCTTAAGGCACACAGAAGCCTTTTGATTATGCCTGTGTTTTCCATCAAAAATACAGTACCTGTACATGACTCCTCTGATGCTGGAACTTGTCTTGTCAGCCACGCTGTTTTTTTTTTCTTCTTAAATAAAACTTAATGTATAAAGCTAAACCATTTTTTCACATTCTTTCCAGAGGGTGATATAATTAAACTTTAATGATGTGGTACAAAATGTACCATTCATTATTCTGTTTTAGTCATATATTTCAGTAGGTGTTTTCCCCCTTAAGGCAAAAGTTTAAGAATTCCATAAAGCAGTGTTTGTATTTAAATTATGGCCTATACAAAAGCCCACTGCAATTTTAGTAAAATAATAACCTTGTTAGTGGTCCACATGGCTCCAACAGTTCCTGAAATGCAGAAAAGTTCAAACATTCCCACATGTACATAATGCTACCCTCCCTCTATGCACATCACTGAAGGCAGCTCTGAGTCATTCAAAAACAAATGAATCTGGCATCCCTTATTTCCCTACGGATTGCAAGCTTCTCCAGTTTTCCACTAGATGGGTGCTATTTATATGCAATGTAAAATGATCTGCAGCAATAATAGAAAAAAAAAAGAAACAATATCCTAAAGTTGTTGAGCTTCCAAAACTCTTCCTTTATCTCACCAGACAGAAACTATACCTTCTAAACCAATAACAAATTATACTGGTGATCTACTATGACAAGGGAATTGCATTCTGAGCTCTATTTACTGTATATTTTGCAGCATGGCTATACACCAATGTATAGTGCTTTTTTGGGTAAATCTTCAGTTCTCTTTAAGCCCTGCCGCTATCAGTTTTTGTAAATAAAGCTACAGGCCATGTTTTTCCCTCCCCTTTTCTTATCCCTGCTCCCTACCCTCCATCTATGTTCTCACTGCCCCCCTCTCTCTTTTATTTAGAAATCTGTGCTGCTACTCTCCATGTCCCTATTTACACTGTTTATGATGCCACAGACTTGGCCCTCCTGATCTAGGGATCTGGAGTTATCCCCTGCTCCCCCCTAATTGCCTCTTCATAGATAACTTGTCAGACCACCACCACTATGAATCTGCTGTTATTCTCCTATAACAGGGCTTGAAATTTTCACTCCCCTGCTCGCCAATAGCAAGTGGAGTGTGAGTGTGTCCCCCAGGGCCGTCTTGCTGAGCAAGCTCAGAGCTCAGGCCGGATCTGTCATTGGCACTGGGAGCCGTCAGCCTGCTCAATAGCTGAGCGCAGTGAAAGCAAAGCAAGGAGTGTGTGCTGTGCTCTCTGCCTCCCCCTAGAGTGCAGTACCCAGATCTGTGAGTGACCAATGAAGTTCTGCAACTTTTTATGGGGGGGTGGTGTGTGTGTATGTGTACATGTGTATATGTACATGTGTGTATCTGTACATGTGTCTGCACGGGTTTACATGTATGTGTGTGCATGTACGTGTGTGCATGTACATGTGTGTTTGTGTGTATGTACGTACATGTGTCTGTGTGTACTTGTGTCTGTGTATGTATGTACATGTGTCTGTGTATGTATGTACATGTGTCTGTGCATGTGTATTTCTGTGGAAGTACATGTATCTGTGTGTATGCGTGTCTGTACGTGCCTGTGTGTGTATACATGTGTCTGTATGTTTGTGTGTACGTGTCTTTGTGCGTGTGTGTACATCTTTCTGTGTGTATGTACATGTCTGTGTGTGTGTACAGGTGTCTCTGTGTGTGTTTGTTGGTAGCGAGTAACTCTAAGGCCTGGCTAATAGCTCAGGACTTGAAATTTTAAGCCCTGTCCTATAACACGGCCCTATACATTGGATGCCTAAGATTACATGTTGTACAATGGTGTACATGTTACAGTTTATTGCTCTCTTGACATGGAAACTGCCTTTTCTGTTAAAGAATTTGAAAAAAAAAAAAACTACAGGCTGCTACATTTTCAACTTACGCTATGGTTTTCATAAATGGTTCTTTCTCAATTTGATGGCCCAGTGCAATATTTTTAAAGGATAAGGATGTTTAAAGCTAACCTAGGGGGTAAGAACAGCAGGGTGAGTTTATTCCCAAATTTAAAGAAGTCAAAGACCTAAAGGGTGATTCTATTTTTGTGGGGAAAAAATTACAAATTAGAAAAAAAATAATATAGTGTTTGCAATTGCTACTCCAGTCATATTGTAAGTGAATGTTTTTAAAAATTGCCATTCCTTTTCAATCTACAGCACTGTAATTTTCTGCAAAATTCAATGCAATGAGGTTACCTGGAGGCGTTCAGTACACAGATGGTGCACAGAATGCCCCCAGAAATTTAATATACTGCTTGCGTGATTGAATTACTTATTTTCCCAGAAGTTTGCACCAAGATATAAGTCAGATTTTGAGCATCCCCTGCAACAAAAATGTCATTTTTGGTGAGATACTTCCAAAGGGAAATCACTTCTAAAGGGATGCAGACCCTGCAATTTTCCTCATTGTAGCCCTTCAGGTGCAGCAGCTGATTGATGATGATAAAATCACCCCCATACAGATTCGCGCTGCATATGGACACAGACAAATAGTTCCTTCTTCAGAATAACAAAAGGTAGGAATCTGCAACAAGGTTCATTAAAATCCTTGCAATGTACATAGATCAAAAAATGGCCACTGCCCCAGTCTATAACCGGCCTTCACAGCAAGGAGCACATGGAAGGTCGATGCATGTCAAACAACAAAACAGAAAAATTCCCAGCTCAACTTGCCAGCCAGCTTGCAAACAAACCGAATTATCCTGTCTAACAGTATGCGATAAAAACGGGTTTAGTTAGCACACATTTGCAAATACATGCGTAAGCTACATAGCCTCGTCATGGCACCCCAGTATTCTGTAATTCCTAATTCTACAAATTTTAAGAGCCCCCATAGTAGAGACACATGTATTTAATGGATAGACCAAGGGCAGGTGATCCTGAGGGAGCCCACCCCTCCTTAAAGGTACAGGAGCACACTGGACACCCAGCATGTAGCACAATGGCAGCTAAGGTGTGCAGTGCACCTCCTTGACCAACAATTCAACAGTACAAAAAATGGCAACTGCCCCAGTCTAAACTGGCCTTCACAGCAAGGAGCACATGGAAGGGCGACGCATGTCAAACAACAAAACAGAAAAAGTCCCAGCTCAACTTGCCAGCCAGTTTGCCAACAAACCGAATTATCCTGTCTAACAGTATGCATTAAAAGCAGGGGTTTAGTTAACACACATTTGCAAATACATGGGGTGCCTTGTCATGGCACCCCAGTATTCTGTAATTCCTAACTCTACAAATTTTAAGAGCCCCCATAGTAGAAGCACGTGTATTTAATGGATAGACCAAGGGCAGGTGAACCTGAGGGAGCCCACCCCTCCTTAAAGGTACAGGAGTGCACTGGACATCCAGCATGTAGCACAATGGCAGCTAAGGTGTCCAGTGCACCCCCTACCATGTGCTCCTTGCTGTGAAGGCCGGTTATAGACTGGGGCAGTGGCCATTTTTTGTACTGTTAAATTGTTGCTGCCATTGTGCTACATGCATAAATGTGTGCTAACTAAACCGGTTTTTATGTATACTGTTAGACAGGTTAATTTACATAGATCACCCAGATGGGAAAGTTTTTTTTCTCAACAAAAGTGAAGTTACTCTTTAAAGTATAACTAAAGGCACAACTTTTTTTTTTTAAATTGTGGACATGTAGAGTGGGATTAAAA